CTAATAAATTCATAAAGAATATTTCTATTTTCAAACACGAAAAAATCCAAACAGGGCATTTTTAACAATGCCAGTATCTAGTTCCAGCAACTCCAGGAATATGCATCTGGTAAGATTGCTTAAGTCAAAGATGCTACAGTTATGGTAAAGTCACCTTTCTATTTTATGAAATGCACCTAGAAGGTACTGTCACACAATTGAATTAGTACCAGTAGGAGAGAACATATTAAGTTACAGTCCAACTCCAGTTAAATATAAAAAAGATATATCCTTGACATTTTGACTACAAGTTAAAATTCAAACCATTAACAATAAATGGGGGAGGGGGAGAAAAACCCCTGAAACTGTTCTAAAATTAAATGCCATACTGTCAATTTATACTATACTCAGTCAGCCACTGTATAAACTACGGGAATCATAATGCAGTATTTTATAATATAATAATATACTTTAATAACCTGTTATTAAATATATGTAAACTTTAAAAAAATACCCCAAATAGAGTATTTTTCACGAAAGAAAAAGTATAAATTTCACCAGAGAATAAAGATGCCAGGAAGCCTTGGCTGTTTAACAATCCCACAGAGTCTATGCCCACCTTTATTTGTATCTCTATCTTCTGATCACCTACCTCCCGCTAAGGCGAAGCTGGGTAGTCCATAAAGAAACACAGAATTGAGAGCCAATGCACACTGAGTGTTGGGGGACTGGGAGGATGAGGGGGTGGGGAGAGAAGATAAGAAAGGGGCAGAAAAACATTCATTTGGCATGCCCTTTTCCTAGTCTAACTAATGAACTTTAAAACAAAATTTTGTTGCTGCTAATTTCAGTACAAAGGTGAATTTTATAAAAAAAAAAAAAAGGTCTGAGAGGCCCTCCCTGGTGGCACAGAGGGTTAAAGCACAGCACTAAGAAGTTTAAAGCCACTTCAGCATGAGTTCAACCCCTGCCCACGAGGTGATCCACAAGGTGCAGCTGACCTCTCTGGACCGCCCACTGCTCCCCTCAACAGTGTACTTCCTGGATCTGCCAGTTCTGTTCCCCACTCTGTCTCTGGTGAATCCTCTTATAGCACCTGTGCCTCTGGCCTGTACCCCAGTTCTGTATGCATAAATAAATAAATATTTAAAAAAAAGTCTGAGAACACATGACATCAACCTCTGCACCTTGATTTTCTTCTCTGCAAAAAAAAAAAAAAAAAAAAAAAAGATAGTCCTTCCTTTCTAATGCCAAAGCTCAATGAAAGTATCCAGAGCACAGGTTCCCAAGCTCTCTAGGCTGATAGCACCTTCAGTATTTCAGTAATTTTTTCTCAGCAGTTCTAAACAAATAAAAGAATTTCACTTGTTAGTAGCCACTTGAAAAACTAACCTACTTCAGTTGGAAAAAAATGTTTTTACTTCATTCTTAAATAATTTACTTACAGGACGTATACTACCACTCGGCACTATACAACTTTTCAAACCACAGAATCAGATTGGACACTGCTATCCCTATTTTCTGTTCCACACAGAGCTTCACTCAGTATTTGCATTTTATCACAGCAAAAAAACCCCAACTTCACAAATATGTCATTTAAAGGAATGTAGCACAACCTAATACTGAAACCAGGAGCTCTCTCAAGCTATTGTAGTAGTTCACCAAAAGATGTCAAGAATAGCTGTATCTTTCTTGAAAATGTAAACTATCAGACAGCAACTCTGGGAATTGACAGCAATAGCAATACTCTAAGTTGCCTTGTGCAGTTTCAAGTTATGGTCCTATGGCAAGGCAGTATATAATTTTGCTATCTGAACTCAGATCTGGTTGGGAATCAGATTCTAACAATAGTTATATAATTTGGGGAAGTGGCAGGTGAATCTACCTCTTGAAACTTAATTTCCAATTTCCATACCTGCTGAGTACATACAGTACTATCTCAGAGAATAGTTATAAGGAATAATGTGATGTTTGTACATACATACATACATACATACATACATACATACATACATACATACACACACACATCTCCTCTTTAATATATATAGGTATATCCTCAATAAATAGTTGCTATTATTGTATCATTAAAATTAAACAAACAAAATCAAATTTTAAAACAGACCAGGAAGGAAGGTGAGCGGGATGAGAAAGCACTCTAAGCTGAAGTTCACAATGTCAAATTAAAACTTATAAACAGAATTTCAAAAGATCACAAATGCTCAACAATGACAATAAGAACTACAGTTACTTCCACAGGATGTCATAATGTTGATATACCTATCACAACAAATTGACAACTCAGAAGAAGATACTTAAAAAGCATCTTCCAACAGATAATGTCAAACACTAGGGAAAAATTAAATTAGCATTGCCTTATAAAAATACTTACACCGAGCAAAAATTCATTTTATTATAGCAGAGTATTACCCCAAAACATAATAGCTCAATGTTATTACACCTATGTTCAAACCCTTATTCTCATATATAATAAAAACTTAACATTTTAATTCCAAACTTGCCCATGTTCTTTTTGACAAACACTTTCAATAAAAACTGTAAGTAATGATTTTGACACATTCCAAAATATTAGACTAACTGAAGAAACTGAGGTCCATAAATATTAAATAACTTGTGCTACAACATGCACATTACATTATTCAACACTAAAATCCTTTTAACTCTTCCTAGAACTGCTTCCCCGAAAAAGACTCAATTCAAATATTGTTAGCAGGACCAGTACTGTTTTATCAATTATTATAAGTAGTTTTAATCATAATCAAGGCCTGAAAAATCTTTTCCCTGCATAGTAAGAGCATTTCACAGTTTAAGCATTCTTTAACTTCCTAACATTATTCTTTGATCACTTCATGACCTATTCTTTACTTATAACTATATTAGTGGTAACGCAGTGGATGAGTTAAATGATTTTCTTCAACCCAGATTATGTCCCATATTTTTACTAAACTGGTGGCCCAATTGTTCAACTGTAGATAGAATAGTAACATGAAGTATTAAACTGACCCTGATATTTTTTTCTTCAGGTCCAAATATAAGGCAAATGTAGAGGCCAAAATATTTAAAAGCAACCAAGAATCAAGCAATCTTGCATACCACCAAAAATACAATGCCATCCCAGAAACCTTATACCTCCCTTTCAATTCGGTCCCAATATATATCTCAAAGACAATTTAACAGCAACCCCTTTCGCAAAAATGCCACATTTCTCTGATAGATACATTACTATCATTTTCTAAAGTATTCTAGAAGCAACTTACTAAGACATTCCACAATAATTCACAATGATGATTTACTTAAAAAGTGAATACAAATATAATTTGATAAATTATTAGACTTAACACAATCAACCGCCCTTCTATTTTTACACTGTTAAAAGGTAGTTTTTTTTATATGTCAGAGTTTGCTAGAATAGATGAAAGGGCAGTACAGGTGTGTAGCTTATCTGCTGTATTAATGCCATTTTCTCTAAAGCTAACATTTTTAACAACTTGGGCCCTTCCCAGCAATATAAATATATGAATATAAATGTCTTTATTTCCATGCTGAATAGAAGACTGTTTTCTTGGGAAGAAAACAGCTCTCGGCTTTGTACAATACCCAGTTCACTTTGGCTACCTAATACAAAAAAAAAGGGGGGGGGGAGAAAAAGACCTATTTGGAAAACGTTTCTTTCCTAGATAAGGGTCGTTACCCAGTATAAAGGCAATGCTCAGAGTACAACAACAACAACAAAAAATGCTCAAAGAGATGAAAAGTAGCAGAAAAGGAGAGGCAAGGATCGGTAATAAACAGGAGGTAAGTGTGTGCACTCAGTGTGAGGGCTGGAAGCAGCAGGCGAAGCGCTGAGATGCTCCAGCTAAAGAACCAGCAGCAGCAGCAGCAGCAGCAGCAGCAGCAGCAGCAGCAGCAGCAGCAGCAGCAGCAGCAGCAGCAGCAGGAAGTTTCAATGGGGCCGGGCAGAGCATGCGCCTTGCACCGGCGCGGTGGCCTTATGTGGAAGGAGCACCACTTGCGAACACCAATAATAGACCAGCCGCACCAGAGAGAGAAACATGAGCAACAAGCACCTTCTTCAACTGTTTCCCCTCCGTCTGAGCCCCTCCTCCTCCAGCCTACATGCTAACCACCCCACCCCACCCTGCAAATGGGAGGGCGACTTCTTCCCTCAAGCTCAGTTGCCAAGATGAAGGGGGAAGGGATTGAAAAAGTGGGGAGATGCTTCTCGATTATTTGGGGGGAGGTGGGAAAGGGAGGAGAAAAACTATGGGGGGGAGGAGGAATTAACCCTCTAGCCTCCAAAGTGGAGAAGCTTATCCGATTTCGCTCCCCCAAAGCCAGCATGGAGGAAGACACCCCCTCCCATGGGGGAGGAGCAAACGTCCCCAACTCAGAGGAAGGAGTTTGGGGGGTTAAACCGGCCTTTAAGGGGTAGGGAAGACCGACTAGAGCCGACTCTCGGGGGAGTTCCCACTAGAGGGAGGGAGAGCTGAAGTGTCCGCTGGCCCCCGCCCACCCAGGTGGAGGGAGAGAAAGGGGCGCCCCGAGAAGATGAGCCCAGCCTCCCCCGAGATGGTTGGGAGGATGGTGGGAGGGGTAGGAGGAGAGGGAGGAGGGGAAGGAGGAGAAAAGCGCAAAGCTGGCCGGAATCTGCGCTCCCCTTCCCCCGCCACCGCGAGAGAGAAGGGGTGGAGGGACCGAGTCCCGCCGCGGGGGAGCAGTCCCAGAAGCTACGACTAGCACAATGACCCTCCCCGCCCGCAGTCCACACCTAGTCCGCGACTCCCCCACATCCCCTCTGCGCGGGGCCCAGTGGCCCTAAGGGGCCTCCGCCCCGCCTCCCCACTGTCCAAGACCCCGGGGGCTGGGCGGAGAGGACCAGCAGGGCAGAGCTGCGCCCCCAAAAGAAGACAGAGCCGCCTCGGTCCGGCGTGTCTATGAAGAGCGCGTAGAAGGAGAGTGCCAGGGCCGCTTCCCGCCGGGCGTTCGGGCCCCCAGCTTACCTTCCCCGTTGCCGACGTCCGGCGGCGGCGCCTGCAGCACCCGCTCCAGCTCAGGGAACGGTAACTCAGGCAGGTCGAGCAGCGGCCCGTAGCGCTCCAAGAAAGAGCAGACTACGGCGAAGTTGGGGCACGA